TAACCATAATGTAAATATAATTTTTAAAATGAAAGTAACTTAATTAGCTTTCGGTCTATTTAGTAGTAGGCGGATAACCATCCCGCGGGACTGTTTTTCGAATGGCCGTGGTATGACGCATATAACTGATATCCGTTTGTGGTCTTAATTTATTCGACTGTGTTCCGGAAAGAGTCGAATCATCTATGGTAGGTACATATTCAAAATTCCAGGAAAATTCTCTACATGATGAAAGTAAATCTAGAGTGTACATAGCTTTCTAGATAGCCAGATAGGTTCTGTAATGGTTTATAATTTAAAGAAATTTGTCTAAAAGTCACCAGCATATTCCTATAAACTTGATAAAAAACATACAACTCAAAATAATTTGCTAATTTTCGTGATTTTTCGATATTTTGTCAATTTTTGAACTTTAAATGCTTATAAAATAAAACTGTGACCAAGGATTTTTAATATTTTTCAAATATCATTGTAACAATATAGTAAGAGCCTTGTATTCAATTTTCAAGTATTTTTACTCAACAAACAAAGATTTATTGACATTCGTAGAAAAAAAATACTAATAAAATTGGAAACTAAAAATGTTTCTAAACAGTTAAAAACAAATCAAAATATTTTAAAAATTTTATCGTGTATAGAAAATTCAAATATAAACAACCAGTGAAATTTCGGATGTATAATATACTTCATTTATTTTAGAGTTATACCAAAAACCAAAATCGATTTTGCGTAAAAATTCCCCTTTTTCCCAGCACTTTTGAAAACTATTGAATATTTTAAATTTTGAAATCCCGAATGCAACAGCAATATTCACTTTCCCATCGAATAAGATACTGAAGTTGAAAATAGAAGCATTATTTCGACTACTTATCGTGTACACACACACAAAAAAATTTAAAAAAACACACATCATTGTAAAATCAATACATTCATCGTTCCACTCTGAATCTAAAAATAAAACATACTAAACTTAATTGCATCTATAAAGAAAACACATAATATGTATTACAATAATGTAGACAATAGTATTTTGTGTGGCAATGGCGGAAAGTGAGCTATTTCAGTCGCGGGCATAACGAATCGTCCACGTTTTTCCTTTTAAAACTGCATAGAGCATATTATTATGCAGTGGTGATATGTAAAAACGTACAAATTCGGACATTACTTATAAGTTATAAGTATAATAACATTGTTTTTATAATATACAAAATTATAAAAACTAACTGTAATATACTAATATCTAGTTATTTTATATACTTGATCATTTGCCATCTCAGAATATCCATCAACAATAGTGTCACGACCAGTCCACGTGACTAAAGGATTACATAAAAATTGTTTAATTGCATAATTTACAAACTTCGCTTTGATGTTATTGATGAAAAACTTCAAAAACTAAATTTTTTCGTACATAACGCACATTTTTTTAAAAAAAATACTTAGAATTGAATATCGCTCGGACAAAAAAAATCGAAAAAACACCAAATACAAGTAGTGTTGCTCTCATGTGTGTAAACGTAAAAACTCAAGCTTGGATACAACTTCTAAAATAATGGTTTCCACAAAAAAATTTAAAAATATTCAATTCTAAGTATTTTTTATTTTTTTTTAAATGCGGGAAACGAAAAAATGTAGTTTTTGAAGTTTTTTTATCAATAATTTAAAAACGAAGTTTGTCCGGGCTTTTTTTTACATTCTCATAAAGTACCCTAAAATACACATTTTGGAAAAAAAAAAATTTGAAAAATCGATAGGTTGCCAAACCAGAATTATGCCACTAAATTCACTAATTCTACATGAAAGCTGTTTAAAATTTTCCATTTTTGAAAAACAACATCAGTTTCGACAGAAAAGTACGTTTAATGGCCTATCTGCAACGCCTTATAATTGTAAAATTGCCTTTGAAATGCTTTGAAATTAAATTATATTCATTGTAATCATGACGCATCTGCATAGATGTTTATAAAATCATTATACATTTATGCGTTTGGCAATAGAGACAACACGAGAATCTAGAACAAAATATCCAAATTTATCCGTTTTTACATAAATTAGTAGATTGCAATTTATTTACTTTCCAATAAAATTAGCTCAAATATCCCAAATTAGTAATTACTAATAGTAAAATAAATTATATTAATATATAGTAATAATATCACAAATTATCCTTCACAGTCATTAGTCAAACCACTCAAACCCCTGCGTTGAGATTTTAATTGTTGTTTATATTATTTTATAATATTTTTATATTTCATCTTAATAAAATTAAAAAAGTTATAAAGTTAGTTGTAAAATAAAATTTAAAGTTAACACAGTCAATGGGGGGGGGGCTATAGCCCCCTTAGCCCCCCTGTCTACGCCTTTGCTAAGGTGTACGAGATACGAACGCTGATGTCGTGCAACAGCGTCAATGGCTCTGGAACTAGAAAATGCTCCAGCATCATTATTCACAACCACAGGCCAGGGGATGATGTGGAGATTGGAAATTTTTTGGTTACTCTAAGAAGTAGAGTGGCTGCTGAGAGTACGTCACCAAGGATAATTTATGAAGAGAAATCTAGAAGGTAAAATAATAATATTACATTTTAATAAAAAATAATTGACTTAAAAATGCTAATAGATATTGTTTATTGATATTTTACTTCATACATTACTATGTGCCCAAGGGGAAAGCAACCACTAACCAGCAGTGTTTGTGAAAAACTGATTAATGAATACAGTATTACCATCAGTAGAAGGTGATATAAGAGCAGCAAGTACAATTTCTCGAGCTAATGTAATTCGTAGAGCGTTTAAGACATGTTGAAGAGCATTTTGCTTAGCAGCAGCCGAGTCTAATGATAATATGGTCCTTGATAAGGATTCCTTTTCGCAATTATTTTGATCTTCTTCAATTTTCATTTTAGTCTCAACATTTTCATCTAATATTGAATAGTATTGAATACATGGTAAATTACATGCATACATATTAAATACATACTTAAAGCTGTAGCTCCCATTGAATCTTTTATTCGAGTGAATTGCACATGTTCATGAGACATCAGTAAAGGTAATACAGGACATTTCCAGGCAATAGATTGGGAAGAACCACAACCAACACGATTTATTTTTATGTTATTAAAATTAGTAACTAATCTAGGTTCTTGGTTAGCGTTTGTTGTACCGTTACCTTGTTGACCATGATCATTATCACCCCAACAATAGACCTAAAATAATTTGAAGATTAAAAATGGAAAATATAGTAAATATATATCATAAATATTAACAATTAAAACACAACTGTAACAAAACATAATATTTGAACTTAAATACAACTTACATCCCCTTGTGTAGATACAGCAATACAATGTAGTGTACCAACAGCAATATGATCAATTGTAACTAATTTCAGTTGATTAACTAGAGTTGGTCTTCTTACATGTTCACCTCTACCCAATCCTAACCTGTAGTACTCGCCTTTACCCCAAGTCCACACCTAACATTGGAAATAAAATAATAAATATGTATATAAATATTTCAAAATTTGAAAGAAAAAAAATATATTACTTGACCGGTTGCAGTTAGTGCAATAGAAAATTGGGCACCACATTCTATTTGTACAACTCTATGACCAACTAATCTTTCTACTTTTTGTGGAGTACAACAACCATCACTACCGCCTCTACCAAGTTTACCAAAATCTCCATCACCCCATGAATAGACATTACCCTCACTGTCTAAGGCAAGAGTTTGAGCGTCTCGACTCCCACATGCTACTTGAGTAATATTTTTCCAACAAACTCTTTGACCTATCATAGATAAAGAAATATATTACATACATGTTTAATGTTTATTATTAACATAATTTAATAATTTACAAGTTTTGGAGTGTGTTGAGAAACTTCATCACTGTGTCCTAATCGACCGTACTGTCCTTGACCCCAAGTATATAGTTCTCCATCAGAGGTGATTGCTGCACTATGAGCACTACCACAAGCTATATAAAATACTCTTTTGGCCAATAATGTGTCAATAAGTTTTGGTGTGTCCAAAGTAAGTATATCACCATGACCAAGTTTACCGTCTTCACCATCACCCCAAGATAAAACCTGCATAATTAAAATAACAGTTATATATTGAAAAAGCATTAAATATTGAAAATGTACAAACAAAAAAACATTTTTCGACATACATGCAAATATGAATTCAACTGAAGAGATTAAAAACATGTTTTTATAAATCAATTAAAATATTTATTTGAACAATAAAATTCTAGAGATTATGAGTAATCAAACTTGTATGAAATAATATGCATTGGTTCAAAATTGATTGTTTAAGAAGTTACATGTGGAATATACCACTAGTCAGTATCACATTTTTCTTTTTGAAGATTTTTGATAGTTTGAGGGAATTACAGCAAATTTTATTTTCATAGAAATTATTCAATTATAACTATAAGCCATGAGAAAAACAATAACAAATTACTTTTCCATCAAGTGATAATGCCATTGCATGTTTTCCACCAGAATGCACAGCTACAGTTTTGATAACAAATTGGCTGAGACCCGGTATTTGCCGTGGAGAACTAACTTTACCACAGAATGGTATACCTAGTCGACCACCACTGCTATCTCCACACACAAATACCTAAATTAACGATTAAAATGAGTAAATCAATCAATATTATAAAAGGATGATTACTATACTTCAGTTATACTAAGTTATACCTTTCCCTCATTTGAAACAATAAATAATGATTTTGATCCTCCAACAATTTCAATTGGCTTGAGTGCAGTCAGTGCTTCATTAAAAGTTGGTCTTTTTACCTTAGATCCATTCAATCCTCCTAATTGCCCCCTATCGTTTAAACCCCAAACATAAACAGCGTATTCAGAATCCACTCTGATTTTTGATTCTACTTCTGGCTGAGGTGGAAATTCCAAAGCATACACAAGATAATAAATAATAGAAACAAGTAACAACTGATTAGTGAACAAAAATATACCTGCAGGTACGAAACGATGTTGAGAATTCAGAAGAGGTACAGTCTGCGGTTCAGAAAGACCAAAACGTCCAACAAACTGATTTCCGGGTTCGATATGTCGTTCAGTTCGTACCCGGGCATAATTCAATCCGAAGACGATTTCTACCTGATATCCTCTGGTTTAACCACCATGGAGACCACTATCCAAAATTATAACGATTCCCTGTGGTCTAACGTGAAACCGGTCGGTCAGGTATATAATATATTAATATAAGCATTATATACGAATAATATTTTAGGTCTTCATCATTCCTTTATCGAGGCCGTTATTACAGTTGTGTGTAGGAGATATATTATATTGAATTCGGATCTATCGTTCTTATCATTTGTTATAGTAGATGATCATTGACCAGTAGGTGCTGTTTACTGTTAAAGTAGGATGTTTGTGAGTCGTAAAATTATAAATCGTATAAGACGTATACTGTATAGTGTATACTGTATACTATAATATACGAATAGGTATGAACACAAACATATTATCAATTATAAATAATGATATGATACAGCCATATATAGGTATCTAATAATTAAATTATATATCGCATATGATTAGTATTGATTGCTGTTCACATCTTTTGTACACCTATTTGATAAAATTGATAAGTAAAAAATACCCAACAGTAGTTTGTAGGTAGGTACCAAAAATATCCGATAATATAAATTATAAAAACTGTCCAATACGCGACAAATGAAATTAATTTTGGTCCAATATAGATTAATGTATAGCTTAATACGTGAAATTGTTTTGTGTTACACAGCTAAGTCAATAAATTACAAATTAACTTATTTTGCAATTTTTTCTCAAAAATGTTCCACGGAATAGAATTGGTTCGTATAAAATTAAATATTTTATTCAGATAGGTAGGTCAAATGTCAATAGTAAAATTCGGTTTTTTTAGATAATAATATACCTATCAAAATAATTAATATTCGTCTACAGCTCGTTATTTGTCATACATGTATACTTTTGGTTACTATAATATTATAGTATACAATAAAATAAAATAAACAAGTAAAATTAATAAGGGTAAAATAATTAGGTAATATTTTGGTAACTTTTAGTTGTTTTGTAGTTTCAGTATTTTGTTACCCAAGTTGTCATAAGTCATTTGACCAGTATACTGGGCCATATTTATAGCGTTCTATTATGGAAATTAAAACATCTGAGAATAATTCTTGCATTTTGGACAGTGACATTTTTTGGTTTGTGGAATTCGAACGGAGTATTTGGAGGTTTATACACATTCACACAGACGTGACTGTGCATTTTCCTAGATCTAGATGATCTAAATCTAGATAACTTCGATATCATTTACTTCCGTCATTTCCGTGGATATGATCTCTATATTTTGGGTTTAGTACATATTGAGCTGCCTTACTTTTTATGCGGTCTAAATGCTGCGAGTTTCGTTCCATTTATCTTTTATATTTTTGATTCATTATCACTATGTGTCTCAATTTTATTTTAACATAGCTACTTAATGGTTAATGTTGTACTAAAATAACAAAATCGTAAATCATGTTAATGAAAAAACAACGCATTTGTCGTTCATCATACCCATACTCAGAACTATATATTGATTGTCCTTTCATTATTAATAATGAATATATATGCAAATACTTTGTACAACGGCCGATTTCATATTGTACCGTATAACACACTCACGTAGCCACGTAGGTACTTCCCTAAAATCGTAAAATACATTATCATACTATAATAATAATATGTATTATGCACAGTAATAATGTCTGTAATATAGGTATTGGAATTTGTGCGAGCGATGGTCGCGAACCGCCTGGCCGAAAACCCTACCGACTGGGTTAACTTATTCAAGCTCTACAACAGCGGCACGTACAACAATCAGTGGATGATCCTAAACTATGCAGCCTTTCAGCCGGGGAGCCCGTTGCCGCCCAGAGACGTACTTCACGTCCTCGAACAGATACCAGGTTTCGTGATGCACGACGACTTCACCGGTCACTTGATCAACCGGACGTACTGGGCCAGCTACAACGTGCCATATTTTCCGTTTATATTCAACGTAAGCGGAAACTACGACATGGCACAGCGTCACGGCTCGTGGTAAATATAAACTTACGCTACAACAATATGTCGATGATATAGTATAAATATATAAGGGAATCTAGTGAATAATAATAGATCCATATAGACCATAAATCATAATACATACCATGGTACGCCTACATTATACACGCGCACTGTGGCTTGTACTTAAAGCCAAACAGAAAATCGGGGCTAATTTATAGTGGTGAAGTGGCGTAAAGAAGGTGTTGATAGGTGGATCGTCTCGGGTCTCCCTTGGATTTATTTTAGCGGTGTTGTTTTTGTAAATTATTTATTATTTTTTAGTGAACTGATAATTGTTGTTATCGGCGTTGTGATAATAGCTGGATATCACTCAATATTAGGCTGTACAATGCAAACCAACTGGTTGGGCTTTATTAAATACCTATAGGCAGGTACTTAGAAATATTGATGCAAAAGACATAAATCGATTTGCAAATGAAAAAAAAAAGATCTTTACCTAGGTATTATTACTTTAAATAGGTACCTAATGTTTATTTCTTATATGTAAATCATTAATTTGTTGATTAAATGAGAAAAATCTTTTATTGAAAAAAAATTACTGTTCACTTATGTGTGTGGGTGTATAGGGGTGGGAGTGGGTTGTGCCCCCACGATATTTTGAGGTGTATTACAATTTTTAAAGACCCTCCCCGTCCTTGATTGAGCTTTGGATACGCCGCTGACCCATGATGAATTAAAAATAATAGTAGATAATCTATTGTATTATCAGTACAAAAGATGTTAAGTATATAGGTACCTATCAATAACCTATTACAGGCTTACAATTATTTTGTAAAAATGTTGAGAGTACATTTAAACAAGTACCTAGCACAGAAGTAATATTACACCAATTATTATTTTATGTAAAACTATGCAGTCGTATTGCGAAGACTATAATATTAAATAGTACACTCTATAGTGTATATACTATATTATGTATTATGTATTATACACTGGTCCCTGACCCAATATGGCTATATACTTTGTTAATGCTCAACGGCAGATGCAATTTTTAACGATAGATACTAATAATACTTGACTTATGGTTAAAGGTTCTCGTACTCCGAAACACCTGGGGCTCGCATATTTGCCAGAGATCACGTAAAGGTTCACTGTTCCAATTGTATGCTGCATCTGATGCGGTCCAATAACTACACACGTGATCCGGAAGCCCGGTGCGACTGTACTCCACCATATTCTGCGGAAAATGCGATATCTGCCAGGTATTTGATGCACGAACGAATAAGTTTTTAATACATGATCAGTGATCACGCTGTGATTACGCAGCTCTTTGTATAATAACAACGGTTGTGTGACAACCTTTTTTTGTCGTTGTCAGGAGCGATTTGAATCCCGTGAATGGTACGTACCCCATGAAAATGTTGGGTCATCGGTCGCACGGGGCCACCGATGTTAAAGTCACTTCAAACCAGCTATTCAAACAGTTGCAATTCAAAGCGGTCGCTGGCCCGACCCAAGGTAGTGACAACAGTTTAGGACCATTTTGCTGGAGCAAATCAGATTTCAACGATAAAGTCAGTCATCTTGGTCATCCCGACTGCTTTAATTTTAAACCAGTTTTACATCAATGGTCTTTATAAAAATATATGTAATTGTAAAATATTAAAATTGTAATATTAAATCAATGCGGTCGTGTTTATTAACATACGAGATTTAAGTGCATTTTATATAAAATTTTAAGATTGTATAATATACAAATTCTAGAAAATAAAAATATATGTTAGAAAAGAAAAGCCTTATAGTTAATATAGAGCATAGTTGTCCCGTGCAAAACAGTTTTTGCAGCTGTGTTGTGCGTTTGTATAAGACGGAGACAACACATGCGGTGTAGCGTCCTCTTAACCAACATTCACCCGAATAGTAACGGTTATTAAATCCTGAGTGTTTGCTTAAATTTTTTATTCCGGTATTTAAACACCCGATACCCGAAACCACGATAAATTATTCGGGTGTTAAGCCTTGTTGGAAATAGGTTGACAACTGCAGTGATCGATTTGCATAATATATTAAGGGTCATCCGTTTTATCGTTTATGCATTTGATTTTTTTTACAGTAGATATATTATTTATATAGTAGGTTTGGTTATTATCTATAGCTGATCCTGCACGGTGTTTCCCGTGAAAAATTAACTAATTCCTTTGGATTCACTTTGCCTTAATAACTCCGTTAAATGTAAATTACACATACTTTAAACAAATCAATTTAGCGTTTTATTGTTATACGAATCGCCAAAGACTTGTACGTTTTAACTATTCAGTTTACTTATCTGTTCATATAAACTAAAAATACCGGTGTTGGTATTTGCTTGGCTAAGTTGGGTAATGTTTGTGTTTAAGAGGGCTCCAGTCGATGAAAAAAAAGTGATTTTTAGAGTTTAGACCAGTAAGCTAGACAAAACTGGAGGAATTTGGTTTGACGGATTTTATTTTTGAAAACGGATTATGATTAATTAACAAGTTTACTAGGTTTTGCCAGAGGTGATTTTGAATATATATTTTATTTTATTGTAATTCAAGTGATACCATTGAAGCGTTTTACAGTATATAAACACCAATTACAAAAATTGTAGATGAGAATTTTTTCTAGAATCGTAAGAATCTCGATTTTTGATATAGTATTCCAATCGCCCAATATCGCATGGTAAATTGACAAGTTTTTTAATTTTTGTCGGTTAATTATTTGACTAATTAATAAAAATATCGAAAATCGGGCTTCTCACGATTGTTAAAAAAAATTCTACAATACAATTTTTATAACAGATATTTTTACTGTAAACCGCTTCAATAAGCCGTATTACTTGAACTACGAAACCATGCCATATTTGCCATATTTTGTTAACTATAGTGCGTCCTTTTACATACACATTATTTACTGAACCATAACACAATAATAAATTTTTGTTCGCCGACAAAATACATAGAATATTATATTTTTTTTTGTTATATTATATTATTATGTAGGGACCTAGTTGTTCCTAAGTAAACAACTTATTGTGAAAATTATTTATTTTGTGCTGCGATTTTGTGCTGGAGAGGGCTCCAGTCGATGAAAAAAAAGTGACTTTTAGAGTTTAGACCAGTAAGCTAGACAAAACTGGAGGAATTTGGTTTGACGGATTTTATTTTTGAAAACGGATTATGATTGATTAACAAGTTTACTAGGTTTTGCCAGAGGTGATTTTGAATATTTATTTTATTTTATTGTAATTCAAGTGATACCATTGAAGCGTTTTACAGTATATAAACACCAATTACAAAAATTGTAGATGAGAATTTTTTCTAGAATCGTAAGAATCTCGATTTTTGATATAGTATTCCAATCGCCCAATATCGCATGGTAAATTAACAAGTTTTTTAATTTTTGTCCGTTAATCATTTGACTAATTAATAAAAATATCGAAAATCGGGCTTCTCAAGATTGTTAAAAAAAATTCTACAATACAATTTTTATAACAGATATTTTTACTGTAAACCGCTTCAATATAAGCCGTATTACTTTAACTACGAAACCATGCCATATTTGCCATATTTTTATGCCATATTTTGTAAACTATAGTGCGTCTTTTTAGTTTTTACATACACTTTATTTACTGAAGCATAAAACAATAATACATTTTTGTTCGCCGACAAAATACATAGAATATTATATTTTTTTTTGTTATATTATATTATTATGTAGGGACCTAGTTGTTCCTAAGTAAACAACTTATTGTGAAAATTATTTATTTTGTGCTGCGATTTTGTGCTGGAGAGGGCTCCAGTCGATGAAAAAAAAGTGACTTTTAGAGTTTAGACCAGTAAACTAGACAAAACTGGAGGAATTTGGTTTGATGGATTTTATTTGTGAAAACAAAGTATGATTGATTAACAAGTTTACTTGTAATTCAAGTGATACCATTGAAGCGTTTTACAGTATATAAACACCAATTACAAAAATTGTAGATGAGAATTTTTTCTAGAATCGTAAGAATCTCGATTTTTGATATAGTATTCCAATCGCCCAATATCGCATGGTAAATTAACAAGTTTTTTAATTTTTGTCGGTTAATTATTTGACTAATTAATAAAAATATCGAAAATCGGGCTTCTCACGATTGTTAAAAAAAATTCTACAATACAATTTTTATAACAGATATTTTTACTGTAAACCGCTTCAATATAAGCCATATTACTTGAACTACGAAACCATGCCATATTTGCCATATTTTTATGCCATATTTTTATGCCATATTTTGTCAACTATAGTGCGTCCTTTTACATACACATTATTTACTGAAGCATAACACAATAATAAATTTTTGTTCGCCGACAAAATACATAGAATAATATTTTTTTTTGTTATATTATATTATTATGTAGGTACCTAGTTGTTCCTAAGTAAACAACTTATTGTGAACATTATTTATTTTGTGCATGTGGCGCGGCGTATGGATTAGAAATTGGTCACTTATAAAAGAAATCGAGATGTACTATTTTATAGTATTTATTGTTCAACACTTCTACGTTCACATTATTTTTCATTATTTTCTTATACCTTTTAAATTAAAATGATTTCTTTTAAGCAGTATTTAATAACGCTTGCATTTATAGTATTTCCAGTTTTAATTATGACTGTAGCTTCAAATGAACAAAAAGAAAATAATTTAAGCGGTAAGGATTAATTTATTGATATACAATGATTATATAACTTTTGTTATAATTTTATTTTGTCGATATTTTTATCAACAATGATTCGTATAATACTTCAGAATTATTAGTTTGAAAGCGAAAATTAATTATTGTTATTTTATGTTATTCTAAATGACAATCTAAATGAGACAAACTAAACTTATACCATATTATATTACTTTTTTTTAATTTAAAATTGTATGATATTGTTAATAAAAATGTTATACTTATAGAGATGTTATTTAAAAGTGTATTATTATTTTCTGATTTTGGAGGAAAGATTAAATATTCTGACAATTCATTTGTATAAACTTATTCTGGTAGGGTATGCACTGAAGTATAGTTATATTTTATTACAAATGTTAATAATGTTATAAATCATAAAATTTGTTTGACGTTTTTTAATTTAATTTTGTTTTAGTGAAGGAACAATCAAATAATAATTCTATCAACAATTACTTAAATCATTTTTTTTCTTATATAGATTTTGAACATATAATTATATAATATATAATTTGGCGTCCACACGAGTTTTACTCAGTGAGGCCTAGTAATCTTTACCGATATTAAATAAAATAAATAAAAAATAAAATAATTACCATAATATGTAGGTAGTATTTTATAAATGTAATGACGTATACAAAATAATCGGACAGATGATTAAATATTTTTAATGATTTAAGTAATTAATATTAACATTTATTGTTTATTTCATATACACGATTGACTACTACAAATGATTTTTTTTCAGATTATTGTCAAGGTAATATTTTAATTAATTATTAGCAAACAAATAGTAACTATATGGATTGTATTGGTATGAAACTTGCACTCTGTGGAAATCATATGAAAATAACTTCTCATTAATTAAAAAATTACTTTTAAAAACTCCTCAAAATAGAGTTAGAAGCAATATACAACGAAAAAATCATTATTGTAGAGACTATCATTGAGGTAAATTGTGCTGGGTAAGGGTATGCAGCGAGAGGACGAAACTCATTATTAAAGTCTGTGATCGAACCGAATCTGGAAGGAAAAAGGCCCCTGGTAAAACCAAAAATGATAGGGGGAGATACAGTAAAGGCGGACTTGGAAACAATATGAGGTTGGTCAAATTTGAAGACTGGCATATAATATATAGAATGTATATGGTTGCAGAGATGGTTGTGGGATGGGAGGGTCTTAATGGCCGGATAAACACGAAGAAGATGAAGAAGTAGGATCAAGGAGGTGATTAAGTATTAAAAAATATTAATCGGTTGATGTATACTGTACATTTATAAAATATTATAGCTATTGGGAAAGTATCTCAAAAAGTGTGTATGCAATGGTTATTAAGATTCGGTCTCCCATGATTGAAGTATTTGAGATTAGTGAATCATTAAATCATTAAATGTATGGTACCTACACAAGCATAGTTTTATATAATTATTAATTTTGGTTGAATAATTTTGAAATTTAATAGATATTCTAACCTCTGCTGGATTTAATAGTAAGTTAATTGTAATCAACAAATGATTCATTAAGTACATAATTTTTTTCAAGTATACCTATTACTTATAAGTCATAATTACAATTTACATGCATTGATTTTTATGATCTTAAATTTCGTGTTTATTATTTTATCAATATTTTGAATTTTTCATCTTACTCGTGGGTGCTTTTCTCACACAAAATAATTAATTCATATATCTCAGTTTGTATTGAATGTTTTCCTTTTTAATGTGCTAGGTACTTTAGATACCTAGCTTTCCCCCCAGGGACCAGCTCACTAGCATAACGTAAAACTCATAACTGTAATTTGTATCATTTTTAGTTATTTATTTTGCTTACCATTATTTAAACAGTTACAAGACTGCAGTGTAATATCTAGCAGCCTACGACTATTTGAGTTTATGGTTTTTAATTTTTAA